GTACTACCCTGGTGAAATGGGCTAGTGACAGGATCAGAGTCCTCGCTCCCACGTCTTTACCCAGCGCATATCTACAGTGGGGAGATATTTGAAAACAACTCCCCTTATTTTGAAGTAACCAGGCGTCGACACGACCAAGCCTGTTATTTTGAAACAACAATGCCTGCTTGGGAAGAGGAAAAAGCTTATTTCAAAATAGTTATTTGGGGAATGAATTATTATTTGAAAATACCCTAGAAGGGCAGGCACAGCCCCAGTGGCCTCCCTGACCTCGAGGGCTCCACTTCCTCTTTCCCGTGCGGCAGAGTCCTTGGAACCCAGCAAGGCTGGGCCCAGGGTTTCTGCAGGACTAAATCTCAGGGAGGGGCGGAGTTGTCCTCACTTCAGGGTGCTGGCTCTGCACTGGGCACTTCCTAAGTTGAAAAATGGGGAACGCTAAAGGAAAGAGGGGGAAGGATAGCTCAGAACAACTCCCCTTATTTTGAAGTAACCAGGCGTCGACACGACCAAGCCTGTTATTTTGAAACAACAATGCCTGCTTGGGGAGCTCCGGACCCACCCCCAGCCCTGGCTGCAGAGCTCCAGCCCCGGCTGTGGAGCCAGGCAGCTGTGGAGCTCCGATCCCAGCTACAGAGCTCTGGCCATGGTGCTTTGGCCCTGGCAGCAATGAGGCTGGCAGCAGTAGGGACAGGCTGGAGCCCTAGCTCAGATGCAGCGGGGAAGCATGGGCCATGAGGGGTCCCGAGGGTGCTGAACCAGTGAGGTCCAACCTGTATAAGTTAAATCCATAAAACGAATATGGGATAGCTCAGTGGTTTGACCATTGGCCTGCTAAACCCAGGGTGGTGAGTTCAACCCTTGAGGGGGCCATTTAGGGGTCATAACAATGCCTGCTTGGGAAGAGGAAAAAGCTTATTTCAAAATAGTTATTTGGGGAATGAATTATTATTTGAAAATACCCTAGAAGGGCAGGCACAGCCCCAGTGGCCTCCCTGACCTCGAGGGCTCCACTTCCTCTTTCCCGTGCGGCAGAGTCCTTGGAACCCAGCAAGGCTGGGCCCAGGGTTTCTGCAGGACTAAATCTCAGGGAGGGGCGGAGTTGTCCTCACTTCAGGGTGCTGGCTCTGCACTGGGCACTTCCTAAGTTGAAAAATGGGGAACGCTAAAGGAAAGAGGGGGAAGGATAGCTCAGTGATTTGTGCATTGGCTTGCTAAACCCGGGGCTGTGAGTTCAACCCTTGAGGGGGCCATTTAGGGGTCATGGGCAAATCTGTCAGGGATAGTACTTGGCCCTACCATGAGTGCAGAGGGCTGGACTAGATGACCTCTCAAGGTTCCTTCTGGCTCTGTGAGATGGTTTATCTTTTCTGGAAACCCCATCACCCTGCCCCCGGCTGTGCCACAGGGATGCCGTGGGTCAGACACTTGCTCTCGTGGTGGCCACATACCCTAAGGCTCAATGTGGCAGGAATCTTCTCCCCAGTGTTAGTTCCCTCAGCTGGGGTTTCCCTCCAGCCCGGCCTGCAAGGCCCATTGGCTGGTGGCATCTCCTTGTGCTGGGTCTCTTCCCAGTAGCTCCAGGGAATGCAAAATACAGCAAACAGGACTGATTTTGTGTGCGCCACTGACTAAATGGACAAGATCTTCTCTCTGAGCTTTTCTCCCTTCTCTCCTGGGACATTCTGCAGCACAATTTAAAGTGGTGGGACCTGACCAGCCTGTCACAGCCGTGGTGGGGGAGGAGATCGTGTTACCCTGTCACCTGGCCCCCAGGATGAGCGCTGAGAACATGGCGGTGACTTGGTTCCGGTCTGAGCTCTCCCCATTCGTCCATCACTATAGCGATGGAAAGGATCAGTATGGACAGCAGATGCCGGAATACCAGCGGAGGACAGAGCTCTTGAAAGATGGTCTGAGCCAGGGGAATGTTACCTTGAAAATTCTCCACGTCAGACTCTCTGATGAAGGGCGGTACCACTGTTTTGTTCAAAATGGCCTCTTTTTTGAAGAAGCCGTCCTGGAACTAAAAGTGGCAGGTCAGTAGCGTGTGTCTGCACGTCTCTTGGGCATGGCACCGAGTGAGTCGAATTATTTGAGCAGTTTACCCACGGTCTGTTGCCGAGGTGACTCACTTACTTGTACCAAATGTGGAGACAATTGGAGAAGGTGCCCTTGGATTATGACGCCTTCTTCCTCAAGAGTCATCTCACCCTTTCACCGAACACTTCCCGGGTGTGGTAAATGGGCCAAACAGGGTCACAAAACCCGATCTCCCATGGTCTCACGGTTAAATCTAATGCCCAGGAATGTTTTTTTGTTTCCCGAGATAATTGGCCAATATGCAAATTCCCTTCTGTGGGGGGCGACAGCCCCACACTGGCTGGGAATGGTCAATGCAGGTTGGAGGGGGCCTGGGCAGAGCCCTGGCCCATTGGGGAGGGGTTTGAAAGAGCCGAGCAGGGTGCAGCTTGCGGGGACAGCCCTATAGAGAAAGAGCTGCCCGCAGAGAGAGTCAGTGAGGCCCTGGCCAAGGAGGGGGCAGGGCCTGGTTCCCTCAGAGAAGGCACCGTCAGCAGAGCAGGGCTGGGCAGGCCCCGGGGGGCTAGAGAGGGAGGTTCCAGCCTGATCCTTGCCCAGCTGTGGCCTTGCTACAAGCAGGACCAGATTACGAGTAGGCTAGCTGGGAGGAACCTTACACACAACGGAGTCGTGAGAGCTGGGTCCCGGCTCACTGTGTAATGTGGGTGCCTCTGGGCGTGTGTTTTTCAGATCCCTTTTTCCCGAAGGTGAATCCCTGGATGGCGTCTCTAGGAATGACCCTGGTGGTTTTGCTGGGCTCCTTTGCCCTGAGTGTTTATCTCTTCAGAATCAAAGGTAAATGTTGGAGCAGGAAATACAGGGACATTCCCAAGGGATTTTCTTCGAAGCCGCGCGCACAGGGACAGATCTGACACTTGGCCCGGCATGACGGGAGCTTAGAACTGCCCCACCCCCGCAGCACAGGGCTGGAAATGCCACTGAGGTTCCCCTCTGTCTGTGG